GGGGATATTAAAGACAGCTAGGTTAGATAGAAAGAGATGAATAAAAACTAGGCAAGATCACTGAGAAAGGAATCTTAGTTAAAACAGTAATTGTTTGCATCTGTTTGTATCTGTGTAGATTAAAATGGCATTAATACTTCTCATGAATAAGAGTTTGCAGAAATAAACACTGTCATTCATCAATGATCAAAGAGGACAAATCTATCCAGCTCTATTTGGCCATATTTATTAATATTTTAGAGTGCATTTACTTTGATTTAGAAATTATTCTATGATTCTATTGCTACAATTTCATCCTACAAAGAGGATCTATCATCTATCTATCATCTATCTATCTATCTATCTATCTATCATCTACCTATACCTGTACTAGTGTTCTCATTACTGGGACACAATACCTGACACCCATAATTTAAAGGAGGAGAGATTTATTTTGTCTCGTGGTTTCAGAGGATTCAGTCTCTAGTCAGTTAGTTCTGAGGCAGAAACATGATGGAGAAAAGCTGCTCATGTTATGATAGCCAGGAAACAAAGGGAGGAGGAGAATCTAGGGACAAGAATATTCTCTTTTAGATCATGTCTCCAGTGACCACGTCCAACAAGCCTCCACACCCTATAGCACATTCTGCTACTGAAGTTTCAATGGATGTACCACTGATGACTGTAATATTCCATGATACATCAGCTTCAAAACACGTGAGACTTGGAGAACATTTTAGATATAAACCATAATATTCCACCCTGGCCCTAAAAGACTAATGTCCAAATGTATTTAGTCTATCTCTAAGAGCTGCCAAATTCTTAACAGTTTCAGCAGTAAGGCAAAATCTAAGTCCAAGTCTCTCCTGAGACTCAAGGCAAACTATGTGAGCTCCTATAAAAATAAAAATAGAAATTAAATAGTTACAGCATACAATGACACAGGATAAGCCTTCCAATTCTATAAGGGAGAAACGAGGAGGAAAGAAAAGAATTGGAGCAAAGCAACGACAAAATTCAACAGGGCAAAAAATAAATCTTGTTGTTCCATGTCTAGCACCCAAGGTCAAGCTCCAAAGGCCTTGCACAGCCTCACTTCATAGTCTTGCTGGTGGCAGCCCAAGGGGCCTTTCTCTTGGGTTGGCTCTGCTCACTGCCTAAAGCTTTCCTTGGCAGATGTTCCACATTCCTGGCATCTACAGTTTCCTGGGATCTCTACTGAACCTTCAACTTCACACTCACTGCTTCACACACTGCCCTCTCAGTGGCAATCTGTCTGGCCTCCCAGGTAAGCTATTTATCTGAGTCTAACTCTTTACCATATGATGCATATAGTGCAGAGCATATACTAAAATAGACAGTAAGGCCTGGGTATGTTTCAGTAGCAGAGTACTTGCCTAGCATGAGCAAGGTTCTGGGTTCACTCCCCAGCACCACAGAAAGCAAGCAAAAAGAAAGAAAGAAAGGGGTTGGGGGGAAGAAATTGTTAAAAATTACAAACAGAAAAATTCCGACAGAATTTTATTAAACCTGACAGGCTAGTTGTAAAGTTTATATAAAAAACAATTTGTATTACTTCTCAGTCTTTTGGCTAAGATCAAGTGTAAAAAGGAATTTGTATGAGAACCATTTCTAAAGATTTTTAAAGTTGCAAATATACATCACTAGACATAAAAACATACCATTAAAGCTCTAGTATTTAACAGACTTGTAATGACATAAGATAAATAAAGCAAAATAAAGTCCTGAAAGTATTTATAAAAATAGGAAGTTTTTAATAATACAAACTGATTTCAAATACATTTTTGAAATATCAACTTAAATAAATGGAATTGGATAATCTATCTAAAACTTTGATAAGATTATTGTGATATACAAATATTTAAAACTTTTATGCTAAAGGCAAAGGCATTATGAATGAATTAGCAAAATGTGGCACACCCAGACAATGGAATATTATTCAGCCTTAAAAAATGAAAGAAATCCCAATGTGTACTAAAACATGGATGAACCTTAAAAATAGTACACTAAATGAAATAGTGATAAAAAGACAAATCCTGTATGAATTCACTTGTATAAGGTGCCCAGGTTAGTCAAATTCAAAGGACAGAAAGTAGAATAGTGGCTGACAGAACTAGAGAAGAGGCAGATGAGGAGTCACTATTTAATGAGAACAGAGTTTCAGTTTTGTAAAATAAAAATTTCCAGAGATGGGTGGTATTAATGGTTGCACAATAGTGTGAATATACTTACTAACACTGTACTTTATAGTTAAAAATGGTAAATGTAGTTCAGAACAAATATTTGCATCTTTTTAAAGAAACAATAGATTAAGATCCAGATAAGTACAGACCTGTAATAAATAAGAATAAGAAAAAACAACTTAAGAGAAAAATGAATAAAAGACACAAACAGGTAATTCACAGAAGAACATAATTGATCCATAAATATATAGAGATATAAAATTACAAGTAATCAGCAAAATGTAAATTAAAATTTTCATTAAGTTAAGTTAAAATTTGGTTTTCACTCATTTTCTAGCTGTGGAAATTCAATCAGTGGATGTTAGAAGGAACAGGGGCAACAAGTCATCATGTATTGAGTTTAAATTAGGACAATGTGAGGACAGGTACAACTCCAGGGATTGTGTCTATCAAGTAGAAATATGGGTCAATCTTCTTACCTAAGAATAACTCTCTACAGAAGTACTTACACTTGAGCAGAAACATTAATGAATTCACATCCTCCTATAATATTGTTGCTGGTACTGAGTTTAAAGAATTCAACTGCCCATGAATGAAGGAAAAAGGATGGATACCTTTTATTCTATTTCTACTTTAGAGTAACATGGCACCATTAACCAAAGAGGCCTGTAGAGTTCTGGAAAGTCTCTGGGACTTGGAAAGTGAAAAGTGAAATTGTATAATTAGTATACATAACCATTAAAACATATGTACATGTGCATATTATGTATATCTTTAGACAAGACAAAAATATTTTAGGATGGCATTAACCAAAGCTAACCTTCACTCTTATACATGGCATTTGGGGTTCTGAGTGCAAGTCTGTATTTTACTCCATACACTTCTGCATTGTTTGGAGGAGAGTGTGTTCAGTCATTCCTTGTGGTACCTTTAAAATACACATACGCTGAGGGAACAGGATAACAAAAATGTGAAGGGAAGTTGCCCTGGGAAACCAAGGACACAGCTATTGGAAAAGAAACTCTGTCAAGCTTCAAAGAAGCTTGCTTGGAGGAAAAGTTTTTCTCCAGAAAGACCAAGTATCTTATTTGTTTTGATTTTTCCAGTTCACACATTATTTTAAGACAAGGAAGACTTCCTCTCCTAGGGAAGGGAGGGCCAAAGCTTACTGTTCCTGTAAGTGAGCGAGATGCCACTCAAATATTTCTCTCTACTAGAGCCAACAAATGCCCCAGCCAGTTCTCACAGCAAATACAATATCACTGATTTCTCTTTCAAGACCTTAATAGTTTTCCCGATGTGGTTCCTTTCTCAGGACACAAGAATTACAAAAACATCAGAGACCCAGCTTGGTAGTATTCACTCCAGTAGGATGGCCCTGGTCTGTATAGGTGAACGGAAGCACAAGGGAAGCCATCTGGCGCCACAATCCCTCCCCGGATGGCTCGCATTCCCTACCTGACACCCCGACCTGCCCTGGTTCTCTCAAAGCTGCCTTTGATACAGAAAGTTTCGACAACCCGGAGGGGAACTGGGATGCAGATGCAAAGAGACAAAGGACAACTGAAAATTAACTGTCCAGTAATGAGATGGGAGGTGGTGAGCTTTCTGCTATTAGGGCCATTTTAAGAGAACCCCAGTGCTGCCAGAGGAGGTGTGGAACTGAGCATGCCCTAAAGATTCCAAGTAGGCACCAGTGGTCACACACACACACACACACACACACACACACACACACTGATTCTCAGACATAGTTCAGCTTGGAAAACACCCTGAACACTGTGACCTTTTGGAGCTCTTCAACTACAAGAGTCTCAGAATGCATCTTAAAACAACCAAGGTTAGAGAGAGAGCAGGGCAAGAAAGAAGAGACCACCTTTAGGCCCACTCTCAAAAGCCCTAGAGTATGAGGTGCAGCAGGTGGTGGTGTGCAGACTCTGAAGTCAAATCCTAAATCTGCTACCTGCTATCTGCATGACCAGAATCGAGATTGTTAACTAATCTGGGCCTCCATTTCCTCACCCATAAAAATAAGGGTGACATAGTAGTATCTTATTTATTCTCTGATGAAGTTTAAATGCACAAACATGAAAAGTGCATACTTAGAATGGTGGACAAATCACTATTATTATGTAAACAAGGAAACAAACTCAGAGTCGAGAGAAAACTTGAGCCAAATCCTACAGTCAGATGGAGACCCACTAACCTCTTCCTCCCACCGTGGTACCTCGTAATCTAATCAAATACCACACGCCACCATCCACCTGTTTTGTCCTCTAGAGTAGGACAAAAACTGCCCTCAAAGCGTCCGAGGCAGATGGGGGAGCATGTGGCCCTGTCAGTGTCATCTAGCGGTGCACCTCCCAGCACACATCAGACGGGATGGACAGAGCGACGAGGCTAGGGGACAGCCGTGTGGTGAGGGGTGGAGGGCTGCATGGACGGACCGACGGATGCTTCGCTGTAGTCAGACCTCGGGCTCTGACTGCAGCACCACACACCCAGCAGCGGGGCCTGGGAGAGGTTACAGACTCTCCACGCCCCCGGGGCCCCTGGTCCACCGAGAGGTGCTCGTTCCGCCGTCCTCCCGGAGCGGAGCTCCCCACTACGGCCTCCCCACTGCGCAGTCCCGGGTTCCCTCTCCGCCTGGGCGCTCCCGCCGCGCCCGGCCTTCTGCGCCCCGAGAGAGACCGCCTGGCCCGTCAGGAGGGAGCCAGGGATCCGGACGACAGGCTGGACGGCCACCCAGTGACACGGCGTGTCGCCAGAGAGGCGAAAGGGGACCAAGAGGGAGTTTCAACGCAGCGAACTTCTCACCCTGGACGGGGAGCGGACGGCGAACTTGGAGGCGGCCGGCGAGTGTAGGTGTCCGGCGGCGGCGCGCTCTCCGGGACGCCGGCGGGGAC